CTTCCAGTGCCTGAAGGGGCTCCAGGAAAGCTGGGGAGGGACTTGGGACAAGGGCAGGGAGGGATGGGATGAGGGGGAATGGTTTTAAGTTGGAAGAGGAGAGATTTAGGTGAGACATGAGGAGGAAGTTCTTTGGTGTGAGGGTGGTGAGAGCCTGGCCCAGGTTGCCCAGAGAAGCTGTGGCTGCCCCATCCCTGGCAGTGGTTCTGTGATTCTGTTTTGCTCTTGCTGCCTCCACCAGCCTAATGATAAATATGGGGGATTTTAAAGAAAAAAAACTAAGAGCAATGATTCAGCTGCCTTGTTCTTGGGGCTGTGTCTGAATGTGTGTTGCTTTCACCTGCAGAATCTCCTTCCACAACAGTCCCTTTGGGTAAGGAGACATTTTACAAGAAAACAGTTGGAAATAGAGGTGGATCAGCCACTGTTAGAGATGTTGCTCTCTGTGGAGTTTGACTTTGGAAAACAGTTGTTATTTTAATTACTTTTGCATCTGATAGAGACTTTAATGTTCACAGTGAGAACCTGAGTCATGATTCCTGCTAGAAAATAACAGGATTCAGAGCTCCAAGCTGTCCCAACTTTTGACAGCTACAGATCACAGAGACAGCATGACACTGCCTGGCTGGTTGGGCTCAGTTTTCTTCAGGTTGTGTCAAGAGAGGTTGTGGTGCAGTGAAGAGAAGTCATCTTCATTCCTGCCTGAGATAGGGACCTTCTCTGGTTATTTGTCCAGATCCAGGAAAACTACTGGTGGCCACATCCCTCTGGGTGACAGCCCTGTGCCTCCCCCAGAGATAGCAGCATGTCCTTCCTTTTGTAACAGTTCAGCATAGAGTTTCCTCAGCAATTTAAAACATTCCTCCCCAAAAGTATTTAATATTAGGTTGCAGGATAATGCCAGTTACCCTCAGAAACTATTTAAAGCTTTCCACGTTGAATTTTTAAATAGCTCCTTTGTTGGAGAAGCAAAGATGTCAAAAAAAAAATATTAAAAAAAGGTTCATTTCTTCTTTTAAACGTACCTGTCACCAGCTGGCAAGTGGTGAGAGCTGTCAGAGCTGAATAAAAGATGAGGTTCAGCTGACTCCTCAGTCACATCCTCCAGTTCATACATGCTATCAGCAGCTCTACCATCCCAAACAGAACCTTTATCCTCTGTGCCACAAAATATTTCAACTTCTCTTCCTATGCCTTGAAAAAGGGGCAAATTTTATTAATTTTATGTACACGTGGTGGGAAAGCATCTGGGACCATGTGGGCAATATCTGAGAAGAACCCAAATGAGTTTCTGGCTCCCAAGCTTTGCTCAGGCTTTTCTGTCTGCTGATCATGGTGGGAGCTCCATCCAAATGGCCACGGGATGTTGTGAATGTCTGTAATGTAGATGTGTTCAAACAGGAGTCAGGATATTGTGGGGAAAGAAATCTTTAATGATCTGACCCAATCAATTCCTAAAGTGGATGTTGCTGGAAGCTGGGAGGATAAATTCATAGGGAGGATCTCTTGAGCTGCTCTTACATTCTTATTTCTTAGAATCATAGACTGGTTTGGGTTGGAAGGGGCTTTAAAGATCATCCAGATCCAACCCCCCTGCATGGGCAGGGACACCTCCCACCAGCCCAGGTTGCTCCAAGCCCCATCCAACCTGCCCTTCAACACTGCCAGGGATGGGGCAGCCACAGCTTCCCTGGGCAACCTGGGCCAGGCTCTCACCACCCTCACACCAAAGAATTTCCTCCTCATGTCTCACCTAAATCCCCCCTCTTCCAGTTTTAAACCATTCCCCCTCATCCTCTCACTCCCTGCCCTTGTCCAAAGTCCCTGAGGGAACTTTGAATTGAGGGGCCCAGACCTGACCCCAGGATTCCAGGTGCCCCCTCCCCAGAGCCCAGCACAGGGGGACCAGCCCTGCCCTGCTCCTGCTGGACACACCAGTGCTGACACAAGCCAGGATGCTGGTGCCTTCTGGGCCACCTGGGCACACACTGGCTCATGTTCAGCCAGTGCCTTGGAGGAGATTATAGGGAAAACAAGAGCAGTTAAGAAGCTGGACCTCTGAGGACAAGTAGAATGGGTGCTGATTAACTGAAGGAAGACTCAAGGTGATGTGATATTTTTTAAAGAAACCCCTTGCTGTGGAGGGAAAAGAAAAAGCTTTTTCACATACTTGTGGGTTCTCAGGTCATAAGGAAAGACTTTCTAATGTTTAACAATAACAAAGCACTGTGGTAGGTTTCCAGGGACTTCAGCATTGGAGACCTCTGGATAGCAGACATTTGGCAGGACCACACTGAGGAGGACAGAGCAGAAAATATCTCTAGGCACCCCTGAATATGAGGGTGGCTCTGCAGCTCCACCAGAGTGGGAATTGCCCAGGATATCTGTGGTATGAACTTGGTCACAGCACCTCTGGTCTTTACCTCAAGATTTGGACCAGTTGACTCTGGAGATAACACGTGATGTCTGTGTAATTCATCAGGGAGGCAAAAAATGGGTGAATATTTAAGGGATCTCAGTTTATAGACCCTTTTTTCTTGGTAACGCCTTATCTGCCTTTGGGTTTCTAGGAAAAAAGCTACTAATTCCCATTACCAGCTGATAGGGAACATATGGGAGCAGTTAATGCTGTACCAAAGGAACTGAAATCAAAATACCTTCTGTTTCCCATTAATTTACTTTTCATTTCAGAAAGTAATCTTAATCAGATATTGTGCATCTTAATGGGAGAGTCTTCCTCTGGATGGTGAACAAAGAGGAATTCTATGGTTCCTGGCCTGGCCTCCTGCAGGAATGTTTCAGCTGGGAACTATCTACATGCCTTTGTTTCAGAGGTGGTCTCTAATTTGGTCAGCAACCTCAAAAGTGTCAGGGATTTGGTGGAGTCTCTTCATTAGCAGCTCCTAAAGATGAGTTTGGTTCATGGCTGTTGAGAGAGCTCCTTGGCTTTCATTACTTCTGTGTTTCCTATGACCTAGTGATAGATTATCTTGTGGTTGAACAGCCTTAACTAAGAACTGCTAGATTTTGTTTTCCAAAATTATCTGATAGCCACCAGGAGGTCAACAATGGTTTAGTGATGCAAAGGATCCTATTGATGTGATTTCCTGCTAGGAATTCTGTTCTCCAAAGACATTCCCCTGCTAGGTTTTTTAATCCATTGAGTTGGCTTGGCTCTGGCACAGCAACTCCTCTTGCACGAGCTGCAGGACTTGCAGTGTGCAGAAGAATTAATCTTTCCTGTTTTCCTTAAAATACTCCTAGAAAAAGCCTTAATCATGCAGATAACTAGAGCCAGACTAAATGCTCAGATTTATTTCCTTTGGTCCTTTTTATTATTATCTCCCCACCTGCCCACTTTCTTTGGGAGTGGGGAATTGTGAAGAGCAGAGTATCATGAAAAAGTCTTGTGTCTTTGAACATGCTCCTGGTTTCAAGGTGAATCTAAATAACTTCAATGCTTTAAATTTCATAGAATCCAGACTGGTTTGGGTTGGAAGGGACCTGAAAGATCATCTAGTTCCAACCCCCCTGCATGAGCAGGGACACCTCCCACCAGCCCAGGCTGCTCCAAGCCCCATCCAACCTGCCCTTCAACACTGCCAGGGATGGGGCAGCCACAGCTTCTCTGGGCAACCTGGGCCAGGCTCTCACCACCCTCACACCAAAGAATTTGCTCCTCATGTCTCATCTCAGTCTCCTCTCTTCCAACTTAAAACCATTCCCCCTCATCCCATCCCTCCCTGCCCTTGTCCCAAGTCCCTCCCCAGCTTTCCTGGAGCCCCTTCAGGCACTGGAAGCTGCTCTAAGGTCTCCCTGGAGCCTTCTCTTCTCCAGGCTGAACACCCCAACTCTCCCAGCCTGGCTGCAGAGCAGAGCTGCTCCAGCCCTTGTGACCTCCTCTGGACCTTCTCCAATATCTCTATGCCTTTCCTGTGTTGAGGGCTCCACCTTATCTTCCTTTTCCCCTCATTGGGTTCCCAAGTATCTCACTGGGGTACTGTTCTATCAAGAACTACTCCAGTTCTCCTCTGTCTGAAGTAGGAAGGCAAATAATGCTTAGAGAGAAGTAGTGTTATTCAAGTAGATATTTTTCATCTCAGTCTTCAACAAGGTACCAAAAATAGCCTTTCCAAGCTCTGTGAAATGCTGACAGAACCTGAACATTTTGGAAGCCTCTCACACTTTTGTTCCTGGTGAAATACAGCTCAACCAAGATTATTATCTTCACCAGAAGACACATAAAAGTATTTTTAGAACATGGTGAGATGGGAGGCTTTGACTTTCCAAAATGGGTAACACCAGAATTCAGGTAGTATCTTTGAGCCTCATTCATTGGGTTTTTTTATGCATTATGATAGTGTTTTATCCTTTGGATGAAAAGCTGAATATTCCACTTTGGTTTTGTTGTGGTTGAGCAGAATTTGAGCTACCAAGGCAATCACTGGTGGGATGGATTCTCTGCGTGAGCCTGGCCTGGGTGGGGATGGGTTTCACCAGCCCTTCCTGACAACAGAGGAGTGTTGAAATGCAGGAAGATGTTTTGTTGTATTTGGTGGTTTTGGGTTTTCAAAGTTTGTGGCCAACTTTCTCATTCCTCTCTGAGCTGTGGATCCTCCACCAGCAATTTGTCCCAGACTCTGTGCCAAAACCATGGCCGAGCTCCTCACGCTCATTGCACAAGCAGTTTCTGGCCAGTTTCTTCTGGAATTTTTCCTTCCACCCTCCAGCTCCTGTGCTTATGAACTCAGAACATCTTCCTACTCCTGTTGGGTTTTTTTTCAAGGCTCAGAGATCACAACTCCACAGTGGGTCTTTATGTGTAAGAATGTAAAACCTACCTGCACCATCTGCCAGAGGGAGTGAAGTTCTTCCCTGTGTTCAAGTACAAAGACACTCGTAAGGACAGGACAGAAGGTGAAACCTGATTTTTCATCTCTGGCCTGATTTCCACACTTACATTGTTTCACACAAAATAGGACCAAACAAAAAAAACCAAACCCCAACAACCCCAAAAAGCAACTTCCAGCAAGTGTCACCTGGCTCTCTTTCTGGAGAAAACTGCTCTGCCACCCATCCAATCTACCTGCTCAAGACAAGGACTAGGGTTTTTGGGAGGAATCACCAGAGAGGAACAACAAATTTGAATCTCAAAGCACTTGAGCCATCAGCTGTCTTTGTTTTCTGAACAGCAGCTGAGCTGGGAGGCATCATTAGGGTAATGGTTTCTGGCTCCAGCTTGTGTTTCACTGCAGAACAAAGAGAGCTCTGCAGAGATTTTGTAGGATGAAACGCTTCCCCCTTCTCCCCCTTCTACTTGGAAGAATTAGCAAAGAGTACTCGATGTGTTGGAGGTTGTGATTCAGGTTCAAGTGGACATTAGGACTTTTCAGAGGAGAGACTGTGTGTGTGTGTGTGTGTCCTGAGCTGCATCAAAAGAAGTGTGGCCATCAGGTCAAGGGAGGTGATTCTCCCGCATCTGTATCAGCTCTCTTGAGACCCCACCTGGACAACTGTGTCCAGTTCTGAAGCCCACAACATAAGAAGGACATGGAGCTACTGGAAATTCCAGAGGAGGTCACAGAGATGCTGGGAGGGCTGGAGCAGCTCTGCTCTGGAGCCAGGCTGGGAGAGTTGGGGTGTTCAGCCTGGAGAAGAGAAGGCTCCAGGGAGACCTTAGAGCAGCTTCCAGTGCCTGAAGGGGCTCCAGGAAAGCTGGGGAGGGACTTGGGACAAGGGCAGGGAGGGATGGGATGAGAGGGAATGGATTGAAACTGGAAGAGGGGAGATTTAGGTTGGACATGAGGAGTAAATTCTTTCCTGTCAGGCCCTGGCCCAGGTTGCCCAGAGAAGCTGTGGCTGCCCCATCCCTGGCAGTGTTGAAGGGCAGGTTGGATGGGGCTTGGAGCAACCTGGGCTGGTGGGAGGTGTCCCTGCCCATGCAGGGGGGTTGGAACTGGATGATCTTTCAGGTCCCTTCCAACCCAAACCAGTCTGGGATTCTAAGAGTGTGCCTGAAGCCTGTGAGATGTAAGAGGACTTGTGTGTGGCTCCAGCCAAGGGGTTGCTAAGTGCTTATGTGTGCATGGGCTCTACCAAGTGACTGATCATCTTGTGACCACAGACTCAGACAATAGACTCTGAATTTGGTGTTGAAACTTTGTCCCATAGCCTTTTGAGTTGTTTGGAGTTTCAGATCCCCTGCGTGACCGATGAGTTCTTCTGGGATGAGGGATGGGGTTTGCAAAGTGTGCTTTTTTGGGATGAAAGGAGCTAGAGAAGTAGAGGTTTTCTGATGTCCCACATGGAGAACTGCCGGTGGGATGTCTGCTGCTGGTGTGACCTCCTGAGCTTGGAGAGGGATAAAAGTTAAAGGCTGACCTAACTGTTCTAGCTAATGAGGACCATCTGGGGCACAGAAAAAGGGGGTGGGGAGGGAAATATGGTGAAAAGCAGCTTGGAGGAGATGCATGGAGGATGAGGAGAGCAGAGAGAGGGATTATACAGGTCCTTGGACCTGGATTCTGGGGTGGGGGGGAAGGTGCCTGGGGCACTTTGGATGGTTAATTTGGGGAGAAGAGGAGCTTTGTGGGCTTTTTTTTTCCCCCCCTCATCCTGATTGCTGTGGCTTTGAGTGCTACAAATCCCCGCCAGGAAGTCATGTAGTCTTGTAAAGGTGTGGAGATACTTAATAGTTGTCTTCAAGCCTTTAGTCCAGGAGGCATCAAACTTGTCAAGAATTTACTTCAATGCTTGACAAGAAAAATGAATTCCTAGCCCATAAAGGAGAATGGAAGGCCTCAAAAATAGAAAACAGAAGCAAATCATAGCAATATAAACACATACCAGTGCTTGAAAATGTATGAAAATGTATGAATTCATCTGTGTGTGTTGAATTGTAAAAATCATCTCTCTGTTAAAAATTACTGTAGGAGGCTACTGGTCATTGAGCTCATTTGGCATTAACGAAGTCTCCGTGGCTGCGATGCAAGCAATGACATGTTTATCCTTCAACAGGTTGATCCAGGGCAAGGAGATGACAGCTTGGGGTGTAAATTGGTGCAAAGATCTCTTTCTTGATGTGTTCTGATTTTTCCTTCCAGGTGATCAGCTTCTTCAGCTCCCGATTGGAACAAGCTGGAGCTGAGCTGTCGGTGGAGAGAGTCCTGGAAATCATCAAGCAAGGAGCTGTTGCTTTGCCCAAAGACAGACTAAGAGTAAGTGCTCAAGCCCTCGTTGATTCAAGTGTCCTGGTCCAGGCAATTCCAGAAATACCCTTGAGATCCATAACATCCCAACATCATTTTTCCTCTCAGTTGCAGCAGAGAAAGGATTAGGTTGTGGATTCTCATAGGTGTGTGTTGGAATTTCAGTTCCCACTTTGCGCTGAACGTTTGGGTGAGTTTTCTTGATGAGTTTTTCAGCTCAAGTGCTTGGAGAGATTAAAATTTGCTGAGGAGAAGGTTATCTTCATCCTTTCTCAAAGGTGCAGTCTCACCTCTCACTCCTCCATCTATTATTTATTTAAGCTGTAACCAAACTCTGATCATTCTGTTGGATTTTTTTTGTTAACTTCTTTTTCTAGTCCCTCCATCTGGGTCTAGAGAAAAGGCTACAAAGATCAATCTCTGGGACTTTAGTTAAGAATTAACCAACTTGCTGAAAAGCAGTTCAACCCCTGTTTAATTCTGGTCAATACATCTATATAATCGACCTCTATATAATCCTGAGCAGACCCCTCTGTTCTCTCTTGAGAATCTCTCCAGCCATAGGAGGGATTTACCAACTTGACAGGTTTTGTGAGGCTAAAATCCATTAATGGCTGAGAGGTGTTTAGATATTGCAGGGATGAAATCTGTGTAAGTAGGGAAGGAAATAATCTGTGCTGGAGCCCAGAACCCACCCGTGTCCTGGGCTGCATCCCCAGCAGCATGGCCAGCAGGGCCAGGGAGGGGATTGTCCCCTCTGCTCTGCTCTGCTGAGACCCCCCTGCAGGGCTGGGGCCAGGGCCGCAGCACAGTAAGGACATGGAGATGCTGGAGAGAGTCCAGAGGAGGCCCCAGAGATGCTGGGAGGGCTGGAGCAGCTCTGCTCTGGAGCCAGGCTGGGAGAGTTGGGGATGGTTCACCCAGAGCCACTTCTCGAGCTTGTCCAGGTCCCTCAGGATGACACCCTGTCCCTCAGGCAGGTCAGCTTGGTGTCATAGCAGTGATCAGCAGCACACAATTCCAACCTATAGAAATGGCCTTGTGAATCTTCATGCCCTCTGTCCTTGTCCCTCTTTCCTTGGAGTCTCACAGTTCCTCAGGTCTTCCCACTTCACTCTTTGAGGTTTTCAGGGCAAGCTGTTCAAAAGCTCAACAAAATTATATTAAGATCAGACTAAAGATACAGTTACACAACAACTCTGGCGGCTCTGAGGAGTTTCAGCAGCTAAATAAAGGAATAGGCTTTAATCCACGTGTCTTAATGACACACTCTGGGCATGTCTGGGTGGGTGGGAGCAGCCCTGCCCACACTTGCTTTGCCTGCACAATAGGTTCTGTGGCTGTTGGCATCACTAAGCTCACATCCAGGAGCTGGAAGCTCTCTGGCTGTGTAGACCCACTCATGTTGCCTGCTGAAAGGACAGTTTTCCAAGACAGGCTGGGGTGGGGGCAGTCAGTCCAGAGAAGGGAGAGGAGCTGGCTTGTGCTTGGCCAGCTTGGACAATGTGTGGAGGAACTAGATGGTCTTTAAGGTCCCTTCCAATCCAAAGCATTCTGTGATTCCATGAGATACGGATCTGTTGTATCTGGGTTTATATGATCTGCCCATTATTACAGTGGGCCAAGCTGTAGAGTTTAATCCTAAGAATGTATAGACTGGCTTTGCAGTTAATTGCTAATTAATTTTCAAGCCATCCTTGCCTTTGGCCTTAACATCCTAAAGTGCTTTAGAATAGAAGAGGCCCTGCAGAGACATTACTCCAACCTCCTAGAAATTGCCACCTTCAGCTGGAGCACCTTGAGGAAACACAAAAAGGTTCTGCTGTGGAAAAAGGAAGATTGCAGCAGCCCTTGTCCTCACTGGCTTCCCTGCAGCTCAGTGGTGGGGGGAAAAGTACCTCATGTATGCAGAGATAAATCCAAGGACTGTTTCTGAGTTGCTTATCTCAGCCTCTGTCAAGGAAAGGAGCATTCAAGAGGTGTTGCACCTTCTGAGATCTGCAGCCTGTAGTTCAAACATGAATAACATCCTCTAAAAATAACAGCACTTAGAGCCACCATCCTGATCTGCATAATGGGGCTTATCAGGTTGGTAGCACACCCTGGTTCTCCTGCTCCCTTTCTCTGGGGGGAAGCACCATGGGATGGAGAGTGAGCATGTTCCTTAGCAGTAAGTCATATGTGTGAGGAAAGTCATCCTGCATTTTCTTAGCAAATAATTGGTGGGAAATGGGAGATCTAACTCATCTTTTCCTTCCAGTCCTGGAGACAAACAATATAATTAACATTATTTGAAGCCTGTGCTTTTCACCATGGACTGTGAAAGGCAGGGAAGGTCCAATCTTAGTAATTAGCCTTTTAGAAGACTTCTGCATAAACAGAAAGATAAAGGAGCAGGTGCTGAAATGGAGAGCTGGTTATTTCTCCTTCAGTCCGTGGGAGGAGATAAATGAAGTTAATATTCCTGGGATGGAGGCAGAAGTCACGACGTGGAGATAGAGCTGTCTCCTTTGCAGACCAGCAGCCACAATCCAGGCTCCCTCTTTTATTGCAGAAGCTTATTAAAGGCAATTTAGAGATCAGAGTGATAGGTGAAAATTGGCCTCGTTCTTTCTTGATTTGTTGTTGGGTTTTTTTTAGTATTTTTTTTTTTCCCAAGTTCTCAGGCTGCCTTCTTTACCCTTGGTGAACTATCTGTACTTTGAGGAGCTTGAGAGAAGTGGGATTGTGTCTGGAGTCTGGGGAGTTATCTCAGGTTTTCAAGGGGAGTTACCTCAGGATTTCAAGGGGAGTTAAGCCAGCAGATAACTGCTCCTTTCCAAGGAGTGGGAAAACTTGTTTCAAATGCCAGCTAGTGACTGGAAGCTGATATTTGAGTTCATGGAATGATCACACTTGGGAGGCTACGTTTCGTTCTTTAGAAGAGTTCCCACCAGCTGAGCCACTCAAGGCAGAGGTTTCATTTCCAGGAACATATTCTGGGCTGCCCTTTGTTCCTCTCCTTTGCTCAATGTGTCAGTGAGTTTTTTTAGTCATCAGTGTGCATTCTGTCCTGTGTTGTCCATGTGTTGTGCAGCTGTCAACTCCCACCTCTTTAATATGGTACAAAATATAGTATTTATTAATATTAATGCCTAGTTCAGGTATTAAAATTTCACAGAATATGAAAAAGGAGGTGAAGTCCTTCTGTCTCTTGACAGAACAAGCTTTGCTTTAGGTGTTAACCCCATGGCTCATGGGTTTCCCCTTCTATTAAAGATGTGATTTCATCTTCTTCAGTTTCCATTTGTTACATTGGAAAAAGCTTCAGAGCATCAAGGCACCTGACCAAAGTACTGAATTGAATGGGGGACATCAAGCCTTGTTTTTTTCAACTCTGGAAGGAAGGAATAGCCAGAAAAGAAAGGGCATGTGAAGACTCCAGGACTTGAGGGAATACAAACAGTTATTTGGTTGAGCTACTGAGCTCTCTCTGGGAAGGTTGCTGTGCTTCTGCAGTTGCTTCTCCTAGGGAGGAGACATCATCTGTTTGATGGTCAGTTGTACCATCACACCATGCAGAGGGGCAGGACCTGGGCATTGTTAACACAGCACGTTAACACAGACGTCCTCAGGGCTGAGCCTTGCAGGCACCTGTGGTGCCAACTTCCTCTTGCTGCTCCTCAACTGCTGCTAACCCTTAGCCTCAAGAAGATCAGACTAGTAAGTGAAACTTACAACTTCTAAACAAAGGGCTTTGCACCTTCCTGAAACACCAAACGGATGCTGAGAATCCTAATCTTTATGGGTGGTGTGTCTGCTTCTGACAATTTCTCCCCTCAATGAAGATGTCAGCCTTCCCGGCTGCCATGAGCTGACCTTCAAGTGATGAACAATCATTCATGTTTCCTTGGAAGGCATTCATTTCAGAGGTCAGCTTCTCAGAGCCCTTGGGTAGACAGGAATATACTCCTCATCCCTTGAGAAAATACGATTTTGAGCAAACACTGCATTAAAAAAAAAAATGATCTAAAAATGTTGATGGGCTTTGTGGTCAGAAAAGAACTTATCATCATGAAGCTGTGAGCAGGCAGGCAAAGGCATGTCCACCCTCAGCTGACTTGTTGCTCATCTTGAAGTTGCATTAAGTGCTTGTCTGCCTGACCCACCTTCTGCAGGTGATCTTCTGGTAAAATAAACCTAACTACTACTTCAGTTGTGGAGAATGAGTTGAAACTAAACTGAATGACACCACTTTTTAATATATCCAAGCAGGAGTTTATATCATTGCAATCTTTTTAATTAAATGGTGCAGACTAAACGTGGAGGGCAAACTCTAAAGCATGTGAAAACGATCATGGAAAACTTGTGATTATTTTACTGCTTCAAGATAATTTGCAGTGTGTGGGAATTCTTGACTGTGCATTTCAAAACTGTACAGAAAGAAAACTCAGGCTCTGAGCTCCCATTATATCCCAGAAGGAAACCAAAACTTTTGGGGCTGTAATTCAGGGGTAAATGTCACTGTCCCTTTTAAGCATTAAACAGGATAATCCACAGAATTGTGTCCTTGGGGGAGGTAAACTTGAGTAGATTGTTAGAATAGATGATGTGGTAGCAAAAACCTTTTGCTTATGTGCCTGGTTTCTTTCTTTTTTAACTCTCAAGAAGCCCAGGGCCAAAGCAAATCAGCTTTTAGCTTCCAAGTCTTGGAAATTTGATGACTCTTTTTGTTCCCTGGTTAAAAGTGGATTTCAATTGGAGAGACTCATTGGTAACTACGTAGGATGCAGATTGAATTGATGAGCTAAATACTGAACAACATTTCATTTTCAGAAGCTTCCTCCAGATGAGATGGAAGGAATGGGTTAACTTGGAAGCTTTCGAGATGGTGTAAGGAACTATACTCCAGTTCTTTGAGGTGTAGCTTGACTTGAAACTTGGGATCCATGGAAAACCATGGAGCTTCGTGTTTCTGAACTCAAAGACTTCTGAAATGTTGGTATATTTTGGTAGTGTTGGTGAGTCAC